TGAGTTTTCATGTTACATCAAATGTTGCAGTTTGACTTGTGTAGAAACTTTTAAAATCATATTTGGCAGATGATAATAAATCGAAACTAAACTAAAAATTCTTCTGTTCATATAGACAATATTCTAAACAGAATATGGAAGAAGAAAGCTGGAAATTTATTCGGCTGAAATGTCAAAGTTGGGACGGTAAACTTGAGAAAAACTATCTGGAGAGTATTTTAACGCAATATCGTTTCACAAAATGCACTAAATCAGAGAAGCTAATTTACATATGTCTTGAAAACATGGAAAGATGGCTACATCTAATCTCATCCCATCAAGGATTTCTATCAAAATACTTGTGATACCCAAGTCATTTACCATTCAAGATTGGTTGATTTTTTCCTCAAGATCTTTTACCAAAAATGCAAAAACTACTGAACATTGACAAAACTCAGAAAAATAATAATAACGCAACCATTCATTTATACTCATATCCTATTATATTTTTTATATCACATTCAAGAATCAAATTATTGATCTTATATCGTACCGACATATCTATAAAACACACAAGAAAGACAAACAAAAGAAACAAGCAAGAAGAAGAAAACCAAAAAGGACATTTTCACAAAGGCTAACCACTCAATATGCAGCACCAAAAATAATAATATTATACAATAGAAGAACCTCAGCAAACCATGCAGACGCTATTGCTCTTTTTTCTAGTAGTGGTTGAAGCATCAAAGAAGCACCAAAAAAATACGAGTTGACTCATAACTTTTCATCATTGACATACTTTAAGAATCAATCATTAGAGTAAACATGTGTTCCAGATCTTCATCATCAAAACTTAGCTTTAGCTTAATGATATAGACTTGTTATATATATGTAAAGAGAAAATTAAAATCTAAACTATTTTGGAAGCTTTGCCAAAATGCGCCTTTTATTGGTTAAGTGAACTACTTACGCTTCACTTTTCATATCTAGAAGAGATCTCCGAGTTAATCAATCAGCATCATTTTTTGTATTAATTCGTTCACATTTTAACCAAAATACTACTATTAGAAAACAAGAGAACTAGCAACATTTCTTGAAAAGAACTAATCCTATCAGCAATACATTCACCCAAATGTCACAACCGGCAGTACTTCGATATCTTTTTGATATCTTGTAGGTGACTTTTACTTACCTACACCATCTTTTTTTTTTTTTAAACTTTATTCATTTGTGTTTATTGGCAAAAATCTGATCACGCAAATTCACCGATGAAGCTGTATACCATTCTCCCTTGTTCAATTTTAGAAAAAAAGAATATCTTTTTTTGATGTGGAGTGGGAATTAAACAAGGAATACTTGACTTTTATTTATTCCTCCCTCAAAAACTATATTATTCACTACACCTTTACAAAATAAATGTCATCTCAACTTCCGCTTTAAAAAGATTTGTTACCATAACAAAAATAATAAAAACATATGAGAAACGAACTTCAACCAGGCTGGTATATAGTCATTAATAGTGTGTGCAGAAAGAAAGAAAGAAAGAATTCTTATTCGATTACCTCCAACGATCACCATTTGATGTTGCCTCAAAGCTCACCTCTCATACGTCTTTATGGAATATAATAACTTCTTTTTTCATCTTTAACAATTCACAATTCACAACTCATCATTGCATTGCAGATCTACTGCTACTCTTTTTCCCATTGTACGTTCAATATCATGCAATGAGATACGAATCTTGATGCGTTAGTAATGGCTAACTCTCGGAATCTGATTCTTTCCTCCAATTTCATGAGGAACTCCATGTTTTTTTTTTTTTTTTGAATGTTTATAAATATTGTCGCAGCCTCGTAGATTTCTTCATCGGCTACAATGGCTACCCAGCAAGGAGCTCCATCCCGTCCATGGTTCCGCCTAGCAACCATGGCTCGACCACCACCACCAGCACCAACCCCAAAACCTGATCAAGCCCCGCCACCACCACCAAGGCCAGCAGCATTCATGCGACCGGCATTTTCTCAGACATTTCGAGCACCACCAACTGTACCTCCTACACAAACCACCACAGCCCCACCAGCTGTATCTCCACCACGACCTATCGCAACCTTACCTGCTGCTAATGGTGTAGCGCCAACATCACCACCACAACCGCCAGCAGCCAGAGCTTCACCACCACCGTCACCTAAGGTGAGTACTTCATCTTCAACCTCTAGCACTTCACCAATGCAACAATCTCGATCTCCCTCACCGGTGCCAACTCCGCATGTATCACCTCCACCTCCACCTCCACCGCCTCAGCCATCATATTCACCACCACCCATCCCCCGTTCATCAACGCCTACATACTCCCCTCCAAAATCCGGGAAACCACTACAAAAAAACTCGCCTCCATCTCCTCCAAATCCAATCAACCCTGTATCTCACCCTCCGTCTCCTTTGGCACTCCCTTCACCACAGCTGAAGCCAGAATACGAGCAGAAGACCATGGTCGTACAAGAAACAAAAGAAATCCCTAAAAAGCTGGACAAGGGTTTTAATGGCGACATTCGTAGACACTTGGATAATTGGGGTACTCGTAACTCTAAAAAACTAGAAACTTCTAAGAAGCACTCGCAATCACACTCGGATTCTGAGGATGGCGGAATGAGGATTATAACAATTGCAGGTGAAAACAAAGGAGCAATCATGGAGTTAAGCCCTTTTGGCAAAAAGACTCATAATTTTGGGGACAACCCACACAGACTCCACATGAAGAAAGACAGTCCTACTGCTAGCCAACTAAGTGATGGAGAGAAGTCAGGAAGTAATTCAGATGGAAAGTCAAAAGCAATGAAGTCTAAATCGCCACTCATGAATGCAGTCATGAATAGTAACGTACAGGGTGTAAACAATTCGATTCTATATAAGTGCTCCACTTCTCATCATGACCCGGGTGTCCATCTCTCTCTCTCAAGAAAGCCCATGGGTTTTAACTCAAAACTCAAAGATCACATCAACTAGTATCAACCTCTTGTGTTTCTTTATCATCGTATAGGTATTTCTGCGAGTGAATAATTTGACTAGTCAATGTTCGATCTAGTTGGTAGATTATGAAAAGGGGGCATGGATTCTGATTCTTTTTAGCTCCTGCCCCATGTGAGCAGATTTGCAACATGAATAATATATTTTGAAATCTTTTGCAGTTGTAAGCTCTAGAATATAACTTTAGAAAATTAAATACTTGTTTAAATGTGCTGATATACACTTGATCAGGACACACGGATTGAAGTACCAGCACGGGCTAGAACCGGTTTTACAAGCACATCTTGGTAGATCATATACTACAAACGTTTTGCCAATTAATATAATTGTTAGCCCACATGGTATGTTACGGAGACATGCAATCATAAAATTTAATTTAAACTCATGTGTTCTTAAACATGCAATCATAAACTATGTATATGTAAAGTGTAATCATGTTAAACGATGTAAATGTATACACGGAAGACTGATTTTTGAACTTCAAAATTTACAAGTTCAAAAATTTAAAAACTAAATTTTGTAAATTATGTTATATGTATATGTAAACATGTTAAACCATTTGCACTGAAATATATAAACTACAAATTTCTTACAATTTAAAGGAGTAAAACTAAAGCACTATCATTCATCAACACCATTACTAGATTTCTCGTTAAACAGATGTATGTTTCATCAACACACAAAGACAAACTTATTTGATGAGTTGGGTTCTTGGCTAGATTTTTAAGTAAAACAACAGCACCAGTCGTCCACGAATCAGAGATTCTAAAAAGCAGCAAGGAAACACCATTAGGAAATGACAACAGGAACGTATATGTATTCATCAAATAAAATGAGTTTGGTATAATTGCCGATATTTAAATTTGGAAACCCTATGTATTTTTCAAAACAAAGATTGGGATTTCTCTCTCATAGGGTATATTTGTCAATCCATAATATTTTCCGTGGAAACATCAAAACATTTATGTGGATTTATCAGCACCCTTAAATTTATTGATTTTGAACCAATAATTGTTTTACAACTTGATCTCCCAACACAAATACAATCAACCTACAACGTATTTTGTAGCTCCTCTCACAAATCGTGAAACATTACACCTTTCATTACTCAAATGTAACAAGAATATATATATATATATATATATATATATATATATATATATATATATATATATATATATATAATATATATATATATATATATATATATATATATATATATATATATATATATATTTACTTGGTTTTAAAATGTGTAATACCTGAAACCCTAACTGGAGCAGATCTCCATTTTTAATAAGAACATCTCCTAAACGTCCGTATCCTTCTTATAGACAAGCCTATTGTCACATGGCATTCTCTCCAACTATATACTCCATTTTTTTCCGCCGATTTCATCATTCAACACCAAATATCAGATCTTTATTCCTAATGTTCAGCAGCCGAATCTGGTGCAGTTTCGGTTTATTTATCTCTATTCCTACATTGAAAATCAATTTAAATATCAAACATTATGATATTGCATAAAATCAACAATGTTTTTTGAATTACTTTATGTAAGATCCACCTTCTGATCTGATAAGTCAAACACTCTACACTACCTATCAGCATCAGCGTATATCATCCACCAACATCAGTGTATCAAGCTTATTAACGTCATTTCATAGTATAGTTATTCTATAGTAATTTTTTGTATATTAGGTAATAATATAGATAAGTATAGAATAGATAGCAGATCCGATATCTTTGTTATGAAGATCGATTCTCAATTTGGATAAGTTACAATCCCTTAAATCATGGATTGATATGTATAGGTTAATATATAATCTACATTAGGGTAAACCCTAATGTAGAGTTAGAGTTTGACTTTGTCTCAATCGTCTTTGTGACAACTCGTCTTCTTTGTGAAGATTAAACTCTTTCTTGGTGAAAGAACAATTTGGAGAACTACATGTGTTATTTACTTTCTATTGTTTATTTTCTTATATCAAATAATTATGACAATCTCCTTCACTCCAAAATCAACTTTCTGCAACAAGATCCCTCCATTTGATAAACAAAACTTCTCTACCTGTAAATCAAAGGCCATGAAAGCTCTCGAGTTCGTGGACTTTGATATGCTCGATGTCATCTCTAAATTTCCTATCGTTGTTATGCCTAAATCATCTAATGATGGTGCATCTGGTAGTAAGCTGAAAGGGAAATATGTCCTTGGATACACCAAGAAAGAGAAAAGGATGTTGAATCTCAATGTAAAAGCGAGAATTGCTATTAGAAACCCACTTCCTTTTTTGTATATTGGTTGGTTCAAAAATGCTCAATTGCTCAAGAGATGATGATCACCTTATCATCTGCTTTTGAAAAGGAAAACTCATCGGACGATGAAGGTAATTGTCTCATGGCTAAGTTTGTTGAATCTCACGCTAACGTTTCACATGACAACATTGGGACCCTTGCGGCTGATCTTTGTCATGCTGATAAGGACTTCAAGCCAGAATGGGATGATACCTCAACGTATCAAGTAAAGAATCTTGTTAATTTCTCTTTTGTTGAAGATATTAAAAAGGATGACACAATCGATCACCTACTTTTTGATTTATTAGTCTTAAATAAAGAAAATTTTGCACTTAGTCATGAGTTAAAGAAACTCAAAGAAAAACTCTCTTTTCTCAAAAAATCTATTTTTGTATTAAAAAGGGAAAACACATGTATATCACTTCAATGTCACAAGAATTATAAATGTTTAGATCCCAGATCAGTGTGAGAAAATTCTTGGAGGTGATATAGAAGGTGCAATTTCCATAAACAAAGTTGTTGAAACTAAATAAACCTTCTATTAAGCTGACTGTTTAAAGGAAGATTTTAACAGTATATTTGTGAGTTCGTATTTTATAAATCAAACTTTAATTAATACTCATTGCTCTATTGATTCTAACGGCATTACTAAACGTGATTATAAATTATTTGCTCTTGATCCCCCTCACCAACCTTTTCATCGTGAGTATGTTCTTCCCTCCACTAAGTCTTTGCTAAAGTTTCATATATGTAATGGTGAAGTTCATTCTGTAAACGAAATCCTTACCATGTTTCCTCAGTACTCAATTAGTACTTCTGAACCTGAAGATCAATCAAAATCTTCTACCTCAGATCACTATTCAATGCGTTATGATCCTCATAACAAAGTAGTATATGAGCATACCATCGATGACACTTCTTGATTCCAAAACTACAACAATAAATCTTAAATAAAAAAACTCAAAGTTCTTCGGATTCTTTAGTTGTAAAGAAATCAAAATCTAATACTAAAGGAAAGAATCCAAGAATCAAAGTTTGTTATCAATGTGTTGATGTTTCTCACAAAGTCATCAAGTGCACCTTTGAAAAGAATTCTGCTTGCACAGACAACATCATGACTTGCAATGATACATGGATCAAAAAGGGAAATTTGTTAAACTGTCTCCCTAATGGTTATCATAATATATTTTCTTGAGTGGCCCATTATAAGTAGATCAATGTATATTGTGTGTATATTTTTTGTTGTCAGGGCTTATACGAGAATAGGGTTATAAGAATTGTATAATTTTGAAACATGTAAGTCTAAATACGCAGGTTAAACCATTGCATCTACCAAATACTCCTATAGTATTTAAATTTGTATGTTTGATACCAGTGTCATTTTGGTAAGTTTTGACTTGTTTCTCACTACGACTATTCCCCGACATACATCAGTCCAATCTCGGATAAATATAGTTAATAAGGCTATATTCGTCCCAAATCTGATTACATATTCCGAGGACTAGTCGTAGTGTCCAACTTGTCTTAATACTTCTTGTATAGTTCTAACTATAAAAATGACTCGTTGCATGCATGTATTTGTGCTTTTACAAGCCAAATAATTTAAGCTATATGAAACGTGGTTTAGGTGTAAAAACATTTTGTCAGAGAGTTTTAGTCCCAATGCATTTATAGTTTGTATATCTTATGTGGTTCGATATACTTAGTTCACTATAAACAATGCTCTGATACCAATCTATCACACCCTCAAACCAGAACGGCAGAATTGTTTGAGGGCGGATGACTTCATGTAGTATCGTAACAATTGAATACATAGCAAAGAAAGTAAAACAACCATCATATATATAATTTAAAAGTTACATTGTTGGGTGATACTTTCTCAAAACAAATTACAATATGATGACAAAATGAGTTTTACACTGACGACTTAGCGTGACTTCTCCAAAAGCTGAAGTCTACATGTATTACTGAATCCCTGAGAAATACAAGTAGTTTTGAAAAAGTATCAACAATTAAGTTGGTGAGTTCATAAGCGTTTATGTATAAAATTTGTAAGTTTGGTATAAATCACTGAGTTTACTTCTGAAAAATCCAATATTTTTCCATGAGTGTGTGGTAGTTTAAAAGTTCCAAAACTGTAATGCATTAGTAGTTGCCATGCCTAGAATAATAGATTTATGTATGTATAAAATCACAAAGACATTTGATAACCCCATAAATCGTTGTGTTTTTAATACTTCATGTGATTTTTATAACCATGCTATTGACCTAGGCTGCCTTTAACAACGTTCTTCAGGCGTTGGAATGTTATGACGTTTGTCACCCAAGACCTGCCAGTCTAACTGTAGCTAACAGTTTAGGTTCGGGATTGTCAATCCCGTATAGATCTGTACACAAATATCATGCTCTCCCTAAAAGAGATTATGGTATATAATACAGGACTTTAACGGCATACTTGGTAGTACGTGATGTGGAATGTCTCACAAAACTTAGTATCAAATAGATTTACGTATGAAAAGTCCATTTGTTCTTGTATATGGAAGTATTTCCTTGATATAGTACCTTTAGTATGTAAAATCTCATGATTTCCCTATAAACTATACCTATTATAGTTTTTCCAAAAGTGTATTTCGTTTGTATGGTAAACCCTAGTGTAATGTTGACTTTGTACGTAAAGTATAACATTTGTAATGACATCATTGAACACTTATACTCAAAATATATATAAAGTGTTTCATATTTATATAACAACATGTTTCATTTCAAAATGGACAAAGTGTTATCGTGATATGTGTCACAACTAGAAATTTTGTGTCTTGTAATCACAACACTCAAGTAAAATGTTGAATCAAAAACGTAAGAGCATGTAATATGCTTACTTCATGGCAACAAAATTTCAATCAAGTACACCATACAAGCATTTCAAATAGTCAACAAGTAATTGGAAACCCTAGAAGTTCTTGTGTAGGTCCATTTTGGACTATGACTTCCTTATTGGGCCCAATGGGCCAATAATCTTCCAACTTGACTATCTTGGGCTTAGAACCTTTAAATGGGCTCTAATTGGACCATTTTCATTTATTTCAACAGTTTGGGCCATATTGGGCCTAGAATGAAATAAACCAATTATATGAACTATTATGGACCACAATTAACCTAATCTAGCCTAATAAAGCATAAAAATCACACTTATATTTTATAAGGCCAACAATCATTCAACCTAACTCTAATATGGGCTTAGGGGAAAAAAGCCCAAAAATCATTTATCTCCTCTCTCCATTCGCGGCCCAAGACAAGCCCAAAAGAAAAGGATGAGTTGACTTATTTCATGACACCTCATTTTTGTCCTTAGGTTTTCCATGCAACACACATATCTCCATGCAACAATCTTGTCAAGCTTCTCACTCCTCCCCTACCTTCTTGTTTCGGCCAAGAGCACACACACACACACCTCACAAAAACACTCTCTAAATTACTCAAGAATCATCCACTCTCTCCATCCAAGATCTTGAAATTTTGGCTAGAAGCTTAAGGATCTTCATAAAGTGATTCATCATCTAAGGTAAGTTAATGGCTAACTTATGATCTAACTCCCTTCACTTCATAAAAATCTCTTCTAAATTCATTCAATCTTGTGATCTTGCACCTTAGAAGCTCCTAAACTCGAGATCTTCAAGGAAAGGTTGCTAGGGCCGAAAATCACCTCATTTCTTTCCATCTCTTCTCCAAAACCGAAACCACACCCAAAGGTGAGCTTCATACTCCCTATTTTTCGGTTTTACAAGTTTTATGGGCGCGGGGGGGGGGGGGATACAAGCAAATGTGTAGATCTATGAGTGTATGTATGCTTTGTGTGATTTCTGTGTTTATATTTATGCTCTTATGTGATTGTGGTGTTGGATTTAGTCAAAAAGTCCTTAAAACAGATATTTACATTAGGTTTTATGAAACTAATATAAGTTGCATTATTACACACAAATCATTTCTAGAAAAATAACCAAGTTGGTTAATATGAACATCTTTGGGCTAAAAACCCATTTTTGGACTCAGAATGTGAAAAATATAAAATTAAAGGGCCCAAAATGACAAGATACGAATTTGGATGGTTGAAATGAGTCAAAACAGTTTCAACAAAGTATTTTCTGAAAATATACTCTCTTGAAGGATTAAAATGTGAAATTTTAGGCATAATGGGCCAAAAATGAACATTTCGGCCCAATAAGGCCCAATTTGCGAGATTTTCAAATTAGAGGGGCTGAAACTGTACTTTTCTGTAAAACAGGGGACTACTAGTGCTCCAAGTCCATTTCAAGGGTTAAAACTACTTTTCATATTTAAAAGAGACCAAAGATGCAAAAAAATTCTATTTTGGGCCAAAAGTGTAAAACTTGCGAAAATAGAGGGTTCAGCCGAGAAAACTTCATTTTGAGGGACTAAAACTGTTTTTCAAATAAATTTGAGCTGAAAATACCTTTTCAACAAGTTTTGATACTAAAATGTCAAGAAAAATGGTTTAAGGACTAAAATAGAAATTCTTTGATTCAAAGGGTCAAAATTGTAAATTTATCCAAAAGAAAGGGGCTGAAAAAAGAAAATTCTAATGTTTTAACCAATAAATCCGTTATGACAAAATACTAGTACCACGACTACCGACGAAATATAATACACCTTCAACACCAAAATCGTTATCAAACAAATTGATTCGGTCTCGAATCAACAACGAATCAAAAATTAATACACAGCGAAACTTCAATACACACACGGAAATTCTCCAGAAGTCAATACACATGCGGAAATTCACCAAAAGTCAATACACACGTGAGAATTCACCAGACATCGATACACCATCTTGGGGCCCGTAAGTTTCAAATCGTGCTTGTTAGGCCTAGCTAGTCCAATGACATGATCTTTAGGCCCAAAGGTAACTCGCTTACATGTTGTTGGGTCTTATATGACCTAATTTCGTGTAAAAGGACTTTCAATGACTTTTGTGCTGTTGGGCCCCAAGGGTCCTTTGGTACTGCCAGCAAAGTCGAGAATTCACCAATGCGAGTCGGGTCAAGGTCCCTTCGCATTCACGATAGCCTTGAACAACCTATGGAAATATCGGGGGCTTCACACCGTCTTTTCTCCTTGGTTGTGGGGCTATGAGATGTCGGGGTGGTTGGATTAAGTGAATGATACGGACGATGCCTAAGGGATCGTTTGTATAGTTGTAAACTAGTCGTTTTCATTAATGCGTTTTTATAACGATTCACAAACCATAATTAATCCAATGACACCTGGAATTATCGAATCCACACGTCGTAACGGTACAACAAAATATATAATGCGTAATTCAAAGTATTAGGAAAACATCAGGTTTTCCTAGGATTTTCAATACATACACCTGCGAGATGCATACCAAGTCTAACAATTTTTCTTACATTTATAGAAACAAACAAGCATACTTACGGATCTTCACACTTTTCATACGATACTCTTTTCAGAAAATATCAGATTTTCTGGTGGTTTTCAAAACAATACAAAACGTTTTATTTCAAACATTACTTATGAACTCACCAACATTTCATATGTTGATGTTTTTTTTTTCAAAATGCTTGTATTCTCAGGTAACAGTTAAGTCGAAGGGAAAAATGCATTCAGTGATGTCATGTTGTTTGTTTAACTAGTATCGAACAATCTACTTTTGGGAATGTAATGTTTTGAAACAATATACTAAATATAAACATTACCAGCTGTACTATTCCAATGCATGGTGATGAATGATGTTATGTTTCATGTATATTCACTGTGATGGTATTCAATTGAGTCACAACAGCCCTCGGACATTTCCGTCGTCTGGTTCGGGGGTGTGACAGGTTGGTATCAGAGCTCTGTTTATAGTGAACTAGCATGTCTAACCACACATTGATATGCAACT